GCTTCCTGAGAAAATGCACATCCGAGTAAGTAAGGACAAATCATGAGGCAGGGTAAAGGACCTGAAAATAAGGAAGAAACTACTGTACATGAAGAAATTAGTCCCTGAAAACTTAGAACCATAACCATCAATAGTTCAAAGGAACTCAACCTGCAACCCCAAGAATCTGCATATGAATAAGGACTTCACTGATTATTTTCTGACCCAAGGTACTGCTATTGTTGTGGATATTGAAAGGTTTTATATATAAGCTATATGTCCATATGGTATCTGAGATTTTATTAAATTTTATTTGTTCATTGTGATGGTTCCTAAGGGCTGTTATAACAAAGTACCATAAATTAGGTGGGTTAAAACAGCATAATATTTTTTCTCCCAGTTGTGAAAATGTGAATTCCAAAACCAGAGTGTTGGCAGTGCCAGGCTTTCTCTGAGATTTCTGGGTAGAATCTCTTTTGCCTTTTGCAACCTTCTGGTAAATGACTGTGAATTCAAGCCATTCCTTGGCCTGACGCAGGATCATTCCAATCTCTGCCTCTGCCATCACATGGCATTCTTTCTATATGTCTCATTTCACATCATCTTCTCTTTTTATAAGATAACCAGTCATATTGCAGTAAGAGTCTGTCCCACCCCAGAATGACCTCATCTTCAGTAATTTCTGGTGCAATTATCTATTTCCAAATAAAGTCACGTTCTGAGGCAGGCACTTGGGGTTTGGACATTAGCATATCTTTTATACAATATAAAGCACAGCATCCATAGTAACTTATTTTCTATTAGTTGTCTAGTATTTAGTTTTTGACTCTATAGTTTACAAAAAATTGATGTTTCAAATGCTCCAAATATATTTCAAGTTCATAAATAATTTTAAAACCTAGAAAACTTTGTTTTTAACATCATTTTATTAAATATGATTGTTAGCCCAAATTAATGTTCTAGAATCATTGAAGAAATATTACAGTGGTGAATTGGGGCCTTAGATCCCTGTCTTCCAAACTATTTGTTTTCCTCTACCTCTTGAATAATGTCACAAGGATTGATAGTAAATGGCAATAAATAAAAGAAATAAAGAAGAGAAAAGTATCAATAATGTTGTGAAATGAGAGAACCTTACACATAGGCAGTCAGCTGTATATATAAAAGGCAATTCTAAAAGCTCTGTAAGAAGTCATATATCTAAAACCATCTCCCATGTCCGTCTTCTGTTACAATTAAGTCTTCCAAAGAGCTTTCTGAAGACTTGCATATTTTAACTAGAATAAGACATTACATTGCTTAGATCAAAGAGGAATTAAGCAACTAGTATATGATTGTCATCTTGCGAAGGTAGGACTTTTATGCAATGGAATGAAAAAAATTGAAGGCTGGAGAAAAAGAAGGATCATAAAGCTTTGATGTAGTCCAGTACTGTCACCTTAGTAGAGAATTCCAAGGATACAGAAGAAATACGTGTATAAGGATTATCTGAGAGAAAACGTCTGGCGGGTGGTAGTTGTATGTACCCGGACTCTCCAATATAAGGAGAACTGTGACTAGTATAGTTGTGCCTGGTTTCATCACTTTCCTAAGGTTAAATTATCCACATATCTCTTCTTTTGGAAAATTGCCACTTGAAAGCCACACAGATACATAAAATTCAGTAAGTTCACAATTTAATTAACATTTTGGACCATAACACTGTTTACCCATCTGTGTGCATTGTGTTGATATGTGGCACCACATTTAACATCTACATAGATGAAACATGAACTCTTCTCCATCCACTCATAGCATAAGACTTAGAGAGTTCCTGCCATTAAAAAGAAAAAAACAAAAACAAAAAAATACTGTATTATGTAACTCAACTTCTCCCCAACCAAGTATAATTATCCAAATATAATAGAGGAAACAAAAAAACTCAAATACAAAATGGGGACCAAAATTTGAAGAGACAGCATCAAAAGTTATATAGATGGCAAATAGACACAAGAAAAGATGCTCAACATCCTTTGGACATTAGGGAAATGCAAATCAAAGCCACAATGAGATATCACTGCATACCTATTAGAATGTCTAAAATTTTAAAAAACAACTAATCAAAACATATGTTGATACATATTTGCAGACACTTAAACACTCATATACGAACAACAAAATATAGTGAGCCTTTTAAAAAAAGTTTGCAGTTTTGTTTGCTTTGTTTTTAAATTAAATATACATCTACCAATGATGCCGCTATTCTTATTTTTGGCATTTATCCAAAAGAAAATAGAGTATATCTACATACAAAGACTTGATTACAAATATCATAGGAGCTTTTTTGTAATAGACTCAAACTGGAAAAACCCAAGAATGGATAAGCATAATATGGTATATTCATATAATAGAGGATTAGTCAGCAATGAAAAGGAATGAGCTGTTGTACTGATATACACACATGGTTGAATATTTTAAAAAATTATGCAGAATGAAAGAAGCAAATGGTGAAATAGGACATGAACTGTATAATTCCATTTACATAAACTCTAGAAAATGAACAGGGGAATGGGGAGGATGCAGGGAAGAATTATAAAAGAGCAGAAAGTAACCTGTAGAGGTGATGGATATGTTCTCTATTTTAATTTGGTTATGTTTTCATAGGTATATAAATTTTACTTAAACTTACCAAAGTGTTCACTTTGAATATGTGAAGTTAATTGTATGTCAATTTTACTTCAATAAAGTTGTTATAAAATAAGTCTGGCCGGGCTTGGTGGCTCGCACCTGTAATCCCAGCACTTTGGGAGACCAAGGCGGGCAGGTCACTTGAGGTCAGGAGTTTGAGACCAGCCTGGCCAACATGGTGAGACCCCATCTCAGATCGAGACCATCCTGGTCAACATGGTGAAACTCCGTCTCTACTAAAAATACAAAAAATTAGCTGCGCATGGTGGCGCGTGCCTGTAATCCCAGCTACTCAGGAGGCTGAGGCAGGAGAATTGCCTGAACCCAGGAGGTGGAGGTTGCGGTGAGCCGAGATGGCGCCATTGCACTCCGGCCTGGGTAACAAGAGCGAAACTCCGTCTCAAAAAAAAAAAAAAAAAAAAAAAAAGAGCTGGAAATAGCTTGAACCTGGGAGGCAGAGGTTGCAGTGAGCCGAGATGGCGCCATTGCACTCCAGCCTGTGCAACAGAGCAAAACTCTGTCTCAAAATATAAATAAATAAACAAATAATAAATAAATAAAACGAGTCTGTTCCTATTTTGCTGGTGACAAGCACATTGAGGATTAATTAACCTCCAATCTGTTACAATATTATCAAGTCAGCCTCTGACCTTTCTCTTGTGTTCATCTCCTTATTTTACCTCAATATTCCCCCATAGTTATCATGTAATATCATCATAACGAAACATCAGATGCATGGAAGTTTAAATTAGTACAGTCATTATGGAAAATAGTATGGAGGGTCCTGAAAAATAAAAATAGAACTACCATATGGTCCAGCAATCCCACTACTGGGCATATATCTGTAAGAAATGAAACCATTACGTCCAAGAGAGATCTGCACTTCCATGTTTTTTGCAGCACTGTTCCCAGTAATCAAGGTATGAAGTCCACCTAAGTGTCTATCAAAGGATAAAGAAACTATGACATAGATACACACTAGAATATTATTAAGCCTTATGAAGAGAAGGAATTTCTGTCATTTGAGACAACATGGATGAAACTGAAGCACATTATGTTAAGTGAAATAAGCCAGATACAGAAATACAATTATAGCATGATCTCACTAATACTTAGATTCTTAAAAGTGTGAATTCGCAGATACAGAGAGTAGAATAATGATGATCAGGGGTGCGATGGTGTGGGCGGGGTTGGGGAAGATGTTGGTCAAAGGGTGCGACATTTCAGTTAGATAAGTTTAAGAGATTTGTTGTATAACGCGGTGACTATAGTTAATAACAGTGTATTACAGCCTTGAAGATCACTGAGAGTATATTTTAAGTGTTATCACCACAAAAAAATAAGGATATGAGGTAATGCATATGTTAATTAGCTCAATTTAGCCATTACACAATGTATGCATATTTCAAAATATCATATTGTAAACCATAAATGTATGCAGTTTTTATTTAATTAAAAAAAGAAATAAATCTCTTTTACGAAAAGAAAATCATATGCATGACTCTAGGTCTAACTCAAATCAGCCTTTCCGTTCCTCTCCTTCTAACCCACGCACCATTCTGCGGAGATGGTGGGCCTTCCAGGATGCGTATTTACCTGCATTTTCTCATTTCAAACTCTGAACTATTTCACAGTCCCCAGGAAAGAGCTCCAGATAGCTCCTTTACCACACCCTCTCGGCCTTCCCTTAGCCCTGCGTGGTTACACTTCAGGCATACAAACCACTCAAAGTGCTTTAACCATGCCTGGGCCTTCCTTACTGTTACAGGTGTGTGTACAATATACTGCTACATTGGCCTGGAATTGTCCATCTCCTGACTTTTCATAATGAGTTCCTATTGGTCTTTCAACTCAGCTTCACATTCCCCTCGTTACTTCCAGAGTCAATTGTTCTAAGTACTGTTTTTGTACCCCCCGCCTTTTTTTTTTTTTTTTTTTTTTTTTTTTTTTTTTAGACAGAGTTTCACTCTTGTTACCCAGGCTGGAGTGCAATGGCGCGATCTCGGCTCACCGCAACCTCCGCCTCCTGGGTTCAGGCAATTCTCCTGCCTCAGCCTCCTGAGTAGCTGGGATTACAGGCACGCACCACCATGCCCAGCTAATTTTTTGTATTTTTAGTAGAGACGGGGTTTCACCATGTTGACCAGGATGGTCTCGATCTCTTGACCTCGTGATCCACCCGCCTCGGCCTCCCAAAGTGCTGGGATTACAGGCGTGAGCCACCGCGCCCGGCCTTGTTTTTGTACCTTAAGCATACATTTACAATTGCACCTACCCCCTATATCTTCAGCATTATATTTAGGAATTATAATGAGACGTTCAAAGGAGGTCTGTCACTTTTTTTTTTAAATCGTACAACACAGGAAGGTTTACTCATCCGCTGCTGCTCCAAAGAGAGGCTGGGAAGGTCACTCACTTTACTACGGTGTCGTCTTGGGCTTCTGCCAATTCTTTGGCAATCCGTTTTAGTTCATCCTGCTGCTTCTTCTCCTCCGCCGCTATCCTCCGGTCCTCTTCTGCCCGAGGTTTTAGGCAACTGTAGCGCGTGGCTCCGTAGGCCATACCGAGGAACAAGAAGGAGTAGCGGCCGAGCTTGATGAGCGGAGACACCTGCACCATCTTGTCCCCGACCTTCGCACCAGAAGCACAACCCGCAGACCTAGGAGGACGCCGCACAAGCCCGCAAAGCAGTCGAGGCAAAGGCAGAGCTGGGAGGACGCGAACGCTGTTAGCGGCGACAGAGCGGAGGCGGGAAGGTCTGTCACTTTTAACCACTTCATCCCCAGCCCTAGTGTCTGACACTCAGATGTCAATGACTATTTACGCAACTGAATTCACTGCTGAACAGAGCAAGAGGCTTATGGGTCTGTAGTCAGGCATTCACTTTTCACGTAAGTTCCGCAGAAACCCTGGTTGAAGTCAGTAACCTCAACGATAAGAAGGACGCTTTATATTCTTGTGCCTATTTCTAGAAGTGACACATATAATTAGCTTCTTCTACCTCTCCTTATCATAATGTGAAATAGTCCAGGCAGCTTCCCAGGAGATCCACCGTGTGGCTTGAGGGTAGGGTGTGAAGGTTGCCCCAGTCCGGGTTAGAAGTCAGTGCTTAGAAACTATTACAAATCAAGTTTTTCTTGGAAAGTGTGTCTTTACAAGTAGCAGAAAGTCAGATTATTTTAAACAGTTGCCAAGGAAATACATTTCAGAGCAATGTGTTTTTATTCCACAGGAATTGATAAAAGCAGGGCAAGACCAGGAAGTGGCAAATCTGGTCTTCCATAGTCTTCAATTCTCTTGATGTTGTTTAAAAGATAATAATTATATTTTTCCTCACCATGCTTTTTTTGTGTAAACAAACATATGCATGTCTAATGAAAAAAAATGTGGTTTCTAAAAAGAGACAAGCCAGTATTAAAGAATCTGTGTCCTTGAATGTAATTCTATTAATGATGTCTAAACACTATGAAGAAATATCAACATTTGAGTTACGCAGGAATATGTTGATGTTAAAAATACACATATAAAACTATTATTTTTTAAATAACTCTTAGCCTCTATAGAGTGTTATTCAATACGCACATGAAATTTGAAACACTTCAAAAGTAGATTCAAAGTTTTATTCTCTTATGCTGCCATGAACATATTATCATAAAACATATATGAATAAAGTATCTTGTACATTTTCAGTAGAAAATCTCAATACTCAGTATCACTCTGTTCCAAGAAGTAAATATATCCTCAAACTCCATTTCACTAAGTTATAAGCTTCTGTAATATAATCTGTTTGTAATTTAGGGACTCTCTAAAAGGCTTTCAATAATTACCTTTAAATATGACAGTCGCAAGACATGAGTGGGCGTTTAGTAGTTAGTTATGTACATACAATCTGATTACAAAATCAAAGACAAATTCTAAAACAAGCCTCTTATATAGAAAAAGTTCAGTTTTATAAGTTTCCTGTGTCAGTACCAATATCCATTCCAACTCCCTCCTACCACCACCATGACTACCAGAGTATGATTCAGGCAGCCCTACAGACAGACAGTAATCCAGTGACTCTTAATCCTCTTGCTATTCTTGGATACCCAAAATTTCATATGTACTTTCCTTGAGGCGGAACCAAGACTATGCTTCTAGAACTCCTTATACTAGCTAGGAATGGTGTGATTAGGAGATGAAAGAATTCATACAAAATTACAGCTAACTGATTCATCTTACTCTTTTATTTTCCCTTAAGAAATGATAAAAGGCAGTGAATGCCAGAGATTTAGGTCCCACAACTGAAGGATTTGTGCCTGCTCACCTTGGACATCTTCTTAAATGTCTTTGATCTGACTCACCTGACCTGTACTGACTAGGGGAGGAGGAAAAGTTAACAGTCCTCATGTCCTCCAACTTCAAGGCCAGCACTCTTTTTGTCCTAAAATACAGATTGTATTTCTCAGTTCAAACAGAAAAGAGGCCTCCGTACTTGGTAGTAAATAGAACTGAAATCTTAGCAATAATAAATTTAATCTTAATTAAACAAAATGCCTCTTTTCCTTTTGTACCGAGACTTTCAGTGGAAATAAATAAAAGCTATAAGGGGTTTTAAAAATGCTCAAGAATTTCTTGCTAAGTTCTTCTCTAGTGCTGGAAAGTCCATTTGATAGCAAGCAGAACCTATCTGCTTCATATCATCTAGACATATTATTGCCAAATGTGAGTAACTATTTAACCACCTCCAAATGTTACAATGCAATTTTTAGTGTATCATACGTATCCTAAATATAGTCAAAATATTTACTTATATTTCTGTCAGGATAAATTTACTTTACTGAAAACATTGTTGAAAGCGGAAGACAGTGTGAACATTTTCTGCTTTCCTAATTTCAGTAAGACTTTGATATGTATTCTGGACATTTCTGTAGGCACCTGTTTCCCTGACCTCAAGGGAATGCAAAAGTCACAATAGGGAATGTTTACATATCTACCCTTAGAATTTAAGAACAGTGAGCAATGGTCTAAAGTTATTTATATATGTATATATTCTAAAATAATATATATATATATATATGTAGCTACATAATTTAAGTTAAACATCTTAATTTCCAGTAAATCACGTATTCCATTAGTTGAACGTAAAAAAGTGAAAGTTCCAAAAAGTGTCAAAGATACTTCCTTTTTCTGTCTCCATATACATACACAACATCTAACTAATCTCTACCTTCTCAGCAGGTTAAAGATAGGTTTCTCATTTAGAAAGGACTAGAGGATCCTTTATGACATACTTTCATGTGATTTACATATTCTCATTATTTTATTTTTATCACAATAATCTTCTGTCATATCTGTACAAGTTATAGGTCTTCCCAGAGAAAGAAATGTGTACCTCTAACAGAAGCTAAGTAGAAGACAGAGTTTTCCACCCAAGGAGAGTGTAGAGGCAGAAAAACACTGGGTGTGAACTTGAGGAGTTACATTTAAGGCAGCTCCTCACTATATCACTGCAGTGTTAGCCTTAAAAAATAGTCTTTAAAGATTGAGATTTTTTTTTTGAGTTGAGGGATGGGGACACTCATTATTTAAGAGCTAATGATAACTTCTGGTAGTAAGTGTTGTCAGCTTTCAGACTTCTATTCCATACCCAGATTGAAGAAAATCCAAAACATCATAAGAAACTGTCATTCACATTGGAAGGATATTAACCAAGCATAAAACATATCACTGTAATAGTGAAAAGTATAGAATTAATATTTAACAACAGTACTGACAATCAACAATAATTGTAGAACTACCAATTTAACGGGAAGGCCACAATTTTGTATTTCAAACAAATAGGGAATGATAAATGGCATTCTCTTTCATTACTCACCTTTCCTCCTTCATGCACACATTCAAAACTCCAGTAGTCCCTTGTCCCCAACATTTTCCCTTCCTTATTTAACCAGTGCAATCACCATTCTGCCCTCTTCTTTGTCCAGTGGCTCTCATTCTGAACAAGACCTCGGAAACAGCCTTCACAGTGATGGGTTTTCTTTATATGTGAATGTATCATGAAATGGGCCACATTATATAACATCATAGCTATTTACACATTTTTCTGTAAACTGGCATACCAATTTGATATTATTTATCTCTGCATCTAAAATTCCATTCAGAATTTCTGGCCCAAGGAATATTTTTGAGAAAATTTTTAAGAATAAATGAATAAATATATGACTAGTGACAGTAGAGAAACAAATTTTACCTACTGCTATCAAAATTGTGCCCATGTTATTTTATGGCTTTAAGACTGCTACATACCATGGAAGGAGAGGGCGGATGACAAAATAAAACAAAACAAATATAAAACAAAAAAACACATAAGCCATAAAATATTCTTTGCCAAAGAAGTCAAAGATATAAAGCCCATTACATAATATTACTGGTTTTAATAGTCGGTCTGAAGCATTAGGAAGAATACTATTTTCTCAGCAAATAAACATGACCGTGAAATACAGGAAAAAAAAAAAAAACTATTTGCTTTAATTCTGTTCCAAGTTAATTATTGCTTTGTAACATTTTTCTCTCTTTTTTTTTTTTTTTGCCGTCAAAATAGTGGTTATTCCACTTTGCATCTGCCCTGTGCTCTAGCGCCTCCTCTCTGGGGCGGCGTGTGGGGCTCACTGTCTGTCTGACCACTGGCTGGGGGTGTCGGATGGGTTGGGGGACCGGGAACCGAGGAAGGCAGTGAGAGCTGGACAAACAGTCGGAAGATGCACCGCGGCCCACAGCGCTGGCGACCATGCACGCCCCTCTGAGCCGCAGGTGCCGCGCGTGCCCGCTCACGGGCGGTCTACCCGGAAGGTGTCCTAGGTGGCTGGGTCCGCCAGAACCGGGCCGGGGTCGTTGAGCATGTGCAGTCCGTCGAGGGTCAGGGGGTGGATCTTGAGTTCATCCAGGGGAAACTGGCTGTCGGAGTCGAAGCTGACGTCGCCGACCCCGGCCACAGAGCTGGTCAGTTCTTTAGAGAGGCTGGGCGGGGGTGGGACTCTCCTGTCCCTGTGAGGATGATGTTGGGGATGCCACTGTGGCTGGCGTAGGGCAGCTGCTGCGAGTCCGGCAGGCTCCCGTGGCTGCCCGTGAGGCCCATCGTGGCCGCCTGCGAGTAGTTGAGCGTGGAGCCAGGGCTGTACAGGCTGCTGGAGCTGATGGCGTTCTCCATCATGCTGAACTGCTCCAGCGCAGTGATGGGTGACAGCGGGGACAGGGTGGGCCACGCCTGCTGACGCCTCGCCTCTGTGCTCGGGGACGGGGGGGCTGACGCCGGTGGGCGGTGCTGCGGAGAGGGCCCAGGTGTGCTCATCCCTGGCCAGCGCCGCCGATGCCCAGGTGCGTCAGGTTGGCCGCGAGGTTGCCGGTGCTGCTGGAGCTGCTCGGCGCGGGGAAGGTGGGCTCCTCGGGGTCCGGAGGGGTCGGGAGCGGGGAGGGAGCCCCAGTGTTGTGGGTGGCGGGGATCAGGGCTGTAGTGTTTTCCTGGTTGGCGGATGGGAAGATGTTGATTCCGGGGACCTCACAGGACTTGGGCCTGCACCCGGTCTTCTTGGTATGCCACGCTTGCTTGGAAAGGTTTTTGTCTGCCTCTGACATGTTCTCTTCCATTCCTGGGACTGTTAACAGTAAGACTCTTTTCTGGTGCATGTCCTGGGACCCACTGGTAAAGGATTCTGGCTGTGTGGGCATCATTGTGCTCTGGTGCAGGGCGGAGTCAGAATTGGTCCTTCTCCAGCTGGTGTCCGCGGGTGTCGAGAGGTCCACGGTGCTGTAGGGGCAGCTGTCGACCTGTCGGCCTTGTTTGTCAGACTGCACCTCTCTTGGTTTATGTAAACATTAAGAGATTAATCAATGATCCTCGGTTTAAACATAAGGCTTGAAGTAGCAACAATATTTATTGGATTGTCAGACTTCACCTCTCTTGGTTTATGTAAACATTAAGAGATTAATCAATGATCCTCGGTTTAATAGCAACAATCTTTATTGGATTGTCAGACTTCACCTCTCTTGGTTTATGTAAACATTAAGAGATTAATCAATAATCCCCGGCTTAAGCATAAGGCTTGAAGTAGCAACAAAATAAATACTGGCTGTGCCAGTGTTTTAATAGGCAGGGTATGAAGAATAATGTAAACTGAGAAATGCACAAAACTTTATTTATTTTTGGTTTCTAGTCCTTTGTTTTAAAAAGAGTTGTTTAAATTTTTTAGATTTTTCAGAGGGTGTTACTACCTCCACCACATAGAAAAAGTACTTGATGAAATTATCTCATTTCTATTTATTTTTCAATTATGGCTGAATACATTTTATAACTTTGGTATGGAAATTGTTGGTTTTGCATTAAAGAGAAAGATGTAGCTTAGAAATATTAATATAAAGTATCACTTGATTGTTTCCTAGCAAAAATACATTACTACGTGCAAACTTTCTACTTCCAAATACATTATATGTCCCTTATTCTGTTAAAAAACTGTTAGCTGATGACGGATCTTGTTTATTGGTCTTAAATGTCTCTAAGGTATAAAATCTGTATGATGAGATAACTGGCCATGGATTTTATCAGTTATAGATTTTCAGTTAAGAACGGAAAAGTAAATGAAAGCAAAGATTTTTTGAATAGAAACATGATTGCTTTTATATAAAGGAAATTGAGAAATAAGCTTCTAGGGCCTATATGATGCTGTAAAACTTGTAATTATGTATTCTCTCTTATACCAGGCAAAGGTTGATTTTGTACTTCAAAATGAAATTTCATTAAAAAACCTTCACAAAGTAACCAGCAAACAAAGTTTGCTGTTGTGAATATATTAATTCTTAAGTCAATGTTCTAAAAGGTCACATAGAATGTGTTTAGATAAAATAGCGCTACGTATCTTTTTGTTAAAATATTTGTGTTTTTGTACTAGAGCTCTATTATTGCTGTCCATTTTGAAGCTTCCGTTTGTTTGCATTGTACAAATTCACAAATAACTTTTTGGAACAGAGTATAAGGATAATATATCCCATGAATTATTTTAACATCATATTAAGTAGATGATCATAGAAATGGTCATTTCTTGATAAAATAAAGCTTTGAGTTTGAGAAATAAAGGTATATTTAAAATGAAAAAAAAAAAAAAAGAATTCGTCATTTCAAACAGAACTTCTCTGCAACACTTTCTAAAGGTTTATGCTATAAGCAATAGTACCTTGAAAATGACCCAGCAATCCCATATCGGGTATATACCCAAAGGATTGTAAATCAGTCTCTTATAAAGACACATGCACATGTATGTTTATTGCAGCACTTTCACAATAGCAAAGACTTGAAACCAATCCAAATGCCCATCAATGATAGACTGGATAAAGAAAATGTGGCACATAGAGACCATGGAATACTATGCAGCCATTAAAAAAGATGAGTTCATATGCTTTGCATGGGCATAGATGAAACTGGAAACCATCATTCTCAGCAAACTGACACAAGAACAGAAAGCCAAACACCACATGTTCTCACTCATAAGTGGGTGTTGAATAATCAGAATACTGGATGTAGGAAGGGGAACATCACACACTGTGGCCTGGGGGGTGGGAGGCTAGAGGATGAATAGCAGAGGGTGGGGGGATTGGGGAGGGATAACATTAGGAGAAATGCCTAATGTAGACAACAGGGCGATGGATGCAGCAAACCACCACCATGACACGTGTATACCTATGTAACAAACCTGCACGGTCTGCACATGTACCCCAGAACTTAAAGTATAATAAAAAAGTATGATACAAATATTGCAACAATCAGATCTTAACTGTATTCATTGTTAAGTAATTTATTAATTAGTTATGGAATATACAAATCCATGATTCTAGTTTAAAGATTCCTGTATTCTGTTACATTTAATCTTTTTTCCCCATGTTCCAAAATAAATGAATCACCCAAATGTGAATAAATTCAAAGTCCACTTTGACCATCTTCACCACCATTCAAGATATGTCTCTGTTAGCTATAGCAAAGATATCTAAGAAAAAAATGTGGTCATCTATGAAGAGATTTAAAGTGAATCATTTCCTATATTTCTTTACAAAATTTTTTACTTTAATACTTCTTATTTACCTTGACCAGTAAACTACAGACATTTAATATATGAGTCTAATACAGTGCTGTCCTCCAAAATAAAATGCAAGCCATATTTGCCATTTTAAATGTTCTAATAGACATATTTCAGAATAGAAGATTGAAACAGGTTACTTTTGATAATTAATTTTAATAATGGATTTTAACATATCTAAAATCATCTTATAGGATATAAGCAACATAAACATTTATTAATGAGATAGTCAGCATTCTTTTCCTTTCCTTTTCGTACCAAGCCTTGGAAATGTGGTGTGTATTTTACGCTTTAAGCATAGTTCCGTTTTGACAAACTATATTTCGAGTGCTCAACTGCCTCATGTGGCCAGTGGCTACTGTATTAAAAAAGGCAGTCCAAGTGTTGTTCAAGTCATAGATGATGGATATCCTTAGAAATTTCAAAAGAACTCTCAAGAGGGTTACTGAGTACTGAATGTGGGGAACAATAATTTTGTTCTTTCAGTGGCTGTTAGTAACAGGTCTATTCCAGAAGAGAGTGATCGTAGTTATGTCCTTGACTGTCCTTCTCTCCAAAGATTGACAAGCAGGAAGTCAACTGATGATCCCACACTGCCTTTCACTACTTCCCAATGCTACATAGAAAGGGATTTGCATCCTTTCTCCCACTTATGTGGTCCCCTTTAAAGTGCCAAAAGAAGATGAAGTAATGGGGATATGGAATACTTTAGAAATGGGATGTCCCGTCACAGATTTCTGTTCCAGGGATGAACTTTGGAAGCAGATAATCCTGCCTAGACAATGATACCTAGTTCCATGCATTTTTTCACTGTCACGCTATCAATAAGCTATCACTGGTGTTAATAGTTTCTATTTTGAAAAGTAGATAGGACTGAAGTAGTTCAGTTTATCAGTCAGTAACATCTCTGTATGACATATTTTTGAAAAGGAAATCTGATTACTTTCGTCCTTGCTAATATTATCTTTAAGAGCATGGGAGAATTGGTCAGTTTTTATGTGGGAGCATTTCACTAGTGGGTTGGCTTGAGAGAGGTTCTGCCAAAGGAGCTTTGTAAAACTTAATGACCTGGAAAAAGCATGTCTAGAGAAGGGTGAGACGCAGAAATAGATGGCAGGGCGGGGGGGAGGGGCAAAAATATAGCCTACATATTAGCAAACATCTCATGTGCCTGAGATCTTAACACTGCAAATGATTTGCTTGTTATGTATTTGTATTTGTTCCTCAAAAGAGAAAGAAATGCGTGAGGTTTACCTCCAACATTGAAGATGCACATGACTGGAAAAAGTTGGATAAATAAAACATACGCATGCTCACACAAGCACCTCTACTTCAGGCTAACCAAGATTTGCTGTTCTTAGAAAGTTAGAAGTACAAAGCACTTCAAAAATCATCAAGCATCACCTTTTCATTTTGCAACAAGGAAATTGAAGACCATGGAGGTCAGATGAGTTTGCAGGGACACAAAACTAGCAGCAGAAGCAGAGTTTGCTCCTCATACATATGGTACTGATTGGGCCTTCCTGAGTGAGGGAGAGGAGTTTTGGGATGAAGTCAACCCCACAATTATTTAAAGATTGTATAACTATAATTCTAATTCAGTAATTACAGGTTTGGAAATGAGCTGTCTTAGTTACATGACCACATACCATTTTGCATTCTTTTATATAGATAATAAAAGGCATAAAATAACTAATTCTGGTTTCATCAGCCTCTAAAGGTTGCATGAAATAAAAGCTAAACTTCCAGTTCTAAAGTACTGGCTTCTTTACTTAACAGCCTTTCTTTTCTTTCTCCTGATCTTATGGAGTTCCTGGAACTCACAGTTGTACACAGAATCTCATTATCTGAGTAACCAACATAGTCCGTTCGAAGAGAGATAAGTATTTCCACTCTCTTGTCTTCCATGTCTTAGTTGGTGTTTTGTAAAGGGAATTGAAAGAATGTCTCAGTGTTAAAAAAACTGAGGAACAAGAGTAATTTTACATAGGATCGGAATAGTGATCAGAATACACATAATGGAAAAGAAAAGGAGGAGGCGTACTCCTACCTCCCTCAAAAAATCCGTGGATGTTTTGTTTTGTAGTTTAGTTTTTAATCTAGAGGGTCAAGTAAAGGAATCACTTATTGATCCTAAGGACTAATAAAGCAATGTTCCCTGCTGTAAGAGAAGGAAGAGGAGGCCATGCACATAGTGACCACGAAGTGGCCATCTTTTTAGTAAGAATCTGTGTGTTCTTTGCTTCTATTTCACCTTTTATATAGGACGTGCCTAGGTTTATCCCTATGCATTCCCTTCCTTTATTTCACATGACTTTTCCTCTATTTCTCTCTCTATTCTCATTACTGCCACACAAGCTACCATCATTTTTCTTTCTCTCTCTCTCTTTCTTTTTCTTTCTTTCTTTTTTCTCTCTCTCGCTCTCTTCTTCTGTCTCTTTCTCCCTTTCTTTCCTGTCTTGCTGTGTCATCCAGGCTGGAGTGCAGTGGTATAATCTTGGCTCACTGCAACCTCTGCCTCCTGGGTTGAAGCGATTCTTCTGCCTCAGACTTCTGAGTAGTTGGGACTACAGGCACGCGCCACCATATCCAGCTAATTTTTATACTTTTAGTAGAGATAGGGTTTCATCATGTTGGACAGATTGGTCTTGAACTCCTGACTTCCGGTGATCCATTCACCTCGGCCCCCGACAGTGCTGAGATTACAGGTGTGAGCCACTGTGCT